TGTTTGTGAATTCAGTAACGTGTGGGTCCTGGTCTTGCAGGAGATTTATATTGATGTCACCTGAGAGTAGTAAGTGATCTTTGCTCATGCGTGCATCAGTTATCATACTTCCTAGGTTTTGACTAAATTGGCTAATGTTTGATTGTGGAACTCTGTAGATGTTTATCACTGTGAGAGGTTTTTGTAGGTATTTGGATTTGAATTTAGCTATTATATATACCCCATGTTCATCCCTTGTGCAAGTATTAGTGAACATTTATTGGTCTGAGTAGTATTACTGTGCCACCCCCTTGCTGATTGGCCCTACAGTTGTGTAGGCTGTGAAACCAAAAAATGCATAGACACTGTAGAAACAGGCTTTAGCCGGGTTTCGTTAGTGTAAGATGGACATTTTGGCATGCAAGGAATTTATAATGCATGAGGTCATCGAAGCTTGCTTAAAGTTTCCATATTGCAGTTAAAGAGTTAGTTGTTTTTGGCTCTGAGAAGTGCTTGGGGATTTTTCTGCTTGTAGAAATTACAGAAAATGTTTTTCATTTAAGTCTTTAAATAAGAGGTTGGTCCCGGGGATCAATGCTTTTTATCATAAGATTTATAGTGAATCTATAGTTAAAATTTTAAGTAAAGACAAAGAAAAATTCTAAAACTAAAAATAGCCCCTAATTTAATTTAACAAATGTAAAAATAATACTAAGGTGTTTTTTAAAGCAAAAAGTAAAGGAGACAATATAAAAGTACTAAAAAATTTATGTTGAAAAATAAAGTGATGAAAATAATGGAGCTTGGGTATGATAATAGGTATTTTTTAAAAGGGTAATTTTTTTAAAGTTAGAATTAGGGAAACTATATAAAGGGCTAATATAAGTTTGGTGAACAATAAATGGTATCAAATAAATACTGGGAATATAATGGCAAAATAGGAACTTTTCCCCTTTGCACCTGAAATAGCCCCTTTGATTATTTTAAAAAATTGAATTATGAACAAGGGTGTTATATAAAGCAAAAATAAAGGAGAAAATGATAAGGACAAAATTTAAATAATATTAAAAAAATTTAAAATTTGGGCAGATATAACTATGTTTTAAAATTGATTTGGATAAGATCTGATTTGAAATTTTTAAATAATTGAGCAGTTTTTTGGGGCACAATAAAAAGTAAAAAAATATAGGTAGTTGGTACACAGCAAAAGATATTTTTGGGCCCTCACAATAAGTAATTGAATAAACTAATTGCACACACAAAAAGGGACTAAAAAAATAGTGGTAAACAAAATTAAATGGACAGGGAAAACGATGAAAAATATTTTTTGGGTAAGATTTTATTTGAACACAAAATTTTGAGCAAATTAAAAGCAGAAGAAAAAGTATAAAATATTGGAGGTATTGGCCCTTAGCTAGTGATAAAAAAAAAAATAATAATGCACAATAAAATAGAACTACACTATATGCACCACACGTAATATGTATTAAGGGGACTTATCTAAAACTGTTAAAAGAAATTCAGCTTTTTTAAGGAAGGTAGAGAAATCATTTCATTTAGATGGGTATTGTTGTCCTGTTGAGTTTTCCTTACTAGTATTTTTTCCCATCTCGCATGAAACACCGAGTATTTTTTTTTCCTTTAAACACTCCCCCCTTTCAAAAGGGAAAATAAAAAATAGGTTTGTAAATACAGGAAGGCCCCGCTTTATGGCGTTTCACTTTACGGCGTCCACTAAACGGACATTTCAATTAGCAAAAACTCCTATACGGCTCCCCCCACCTGACTTTTTTAAAACTCCACCGTGCCCCACCCTGTTTTTTTTACATTCTCCATGGCCATAAAACATAAGTCTCTCCATTTTGTCTGGGAAACCCAAAATTTTAAATGTTTTTAAAAGTTTTTTTATATTTTATAAAAACACTCTGTAATTATCTTTGTATACCTGTACCAAATAAACTTTCATACTTGCTGGAACAGGGAAACATTAAAATCATAAAAGTGTCTTAGTCTCCAAAGTCAATTAAATAAAATAAAAAATAATCACGAGCATTTAAAAAGCGTAAATTACGTTAAAAACCCATTTTTATTAATCCATCTTATATTTTTTTTCAAAATTATTAATAAACACGATCAAAATAAAAATAAGATAAATAACCCCCCCAGTAGAAAAATAAACAAAATGTGAGATGTGGGGGCAACACTTTTCCAAGGACGCCATATTAAAAATGATAATAATAATAATAACAAACTCACCGAGTCTCATTAAATGTCGAATTACTTAATATCACTTTTCATTAATCCATCCATGATATTTTTTTCAAAATTAAATAATAACACATACTAAAAAAAAAAGAGATAAATACACCCCACAAAAAATAAATAAACATAAATATAAATGTGGAGCCCAAAATTTTACAAGGACGGGAAGAAAACTTTCTCTAAAAAACATAAGAGAAAATGTGTTACTGGGGGTAACTGAAAAAAATTTTTCCTTTCGTATTAAATTTGAAATTTTTTTCAGATATACACAAAACAAAATAATTATCAACATAACAAAATGGAGAGAACCTAGGATAACCCAAAAAAGTCAGTGGACTTATTTCCTTTTCCCTTTACCCCAGAGCTTCATTTTTTCTCAAAAAGATTTACATGAGAAGGGGGGTGTTCTTCTTTATTAATTTTACCGGATCAATGTAGAGACAACCTGTACACAATGTAACTTGTACACAAACCAGACGTGTACACTTCGTTGTTTACAAAACTTACTTTTGGGCCTGGTTTGTTTACTTTAACTTTTGCGCCTGTCCCCTCTCATGTACTCATTCTTTCTCTCTCTCATTTATTCGTTTTATCTCATTTACTTACTCCTGACCCTACATTAAGACTACAAAATTTTAAGGTAAGTAATGATGAACTGTATATACATTTTATCGCTCTGGGATGCTTAAATATCATAGAATATATGTGTGGGGGGGTTTGGGCCCTGGTATGGTAGCCCGCCGGGACTACCATAATACCACACTTGATTTTTTACAATAAATACTACTCATCTCACCCTATTTTTTAAAACCCTTTCGGGGTCCGTCCCTAGATTTTTACGGCTTTATGGTGAGTGTCCAAACTGTAGATCTACGCCATGAGCTCAGCTCACTCTGATAAACTGTGAGTGGTATATTTTGGGGCCCAGATATGAGAGAATACATCTAAAGTGGTATGTGTGCACCACATAAAACAGATCCTGCAGCACACTGTGTATAATGAGAGAAAAACTGAAATCATGATTTTTGATTAAAACAGCAACTTGCAGTGTTTTTTCGTATGTTTTTTATAGTTGTATTTGCGATTTTCTTGGTCTCATTTGATAGAATGGAAGACATATACAGAAATAGAGATGATTTTGATTGGTTTTAGCACTGGAAAAGGCTTGAAACTGAGCTCAAAGTAAACGGAAATGTTAATTTTTTTCCGATATTCAAGAGTAAACAAACGACCTCACACGTCTAATACACGTCAGCTGGTGGGTTTTAATATACATTCACAAATATGGTGATGATATTTATACAATTATTACAGATTGCATAGCAGTAAATCTTTCTATTTTTTGGTGTGAATAAAAATTCATTATGTGAATAAAAAATCAAAATGGAATTTATTTGTAAAGCCTCAAAACATGACTAATGAACAGAGGAAATGTTTTGTTTAGTGCCAGGAATGCCTACATTGTTTATTTTTGGACCCTATTTTGAAATTGGAATATTTTGAACTTTGTGTTTAAATTGGCCAAATTAAAAAATTTCCAATCACTTTAAATTTTTTAGTTGAAACAGTTGCTTGGCGATTTCTTGTGCTCAATCGTAGAATAGAAGTAAACTAGTGAAATAGCTAAGAATTTGGTTGATTGAATAATGTAATTGGCCTAAAATGGGAGTCAAAATCGGCAAAATCGCCGATTCGTAAATATCGCTGACACATCAAAATTCGCGAGAGCATAATTTCGTCAATTTTCCACTAAATTTCGTACTTTTTGTTTTATTACCTTCACAAAAAGATTCTCTACGATTTCATAAGAAAAAATAACAAATTTTTTTTTTGAAAATTCTTGGACACTGGTGCGTGACTCCAGATTTGGGCCTTGGACCCTGAAAGGGTTAAGGTAAGTAATGAGTGAACTGTATATACATTTTATCACTCTGGGATGCTTAAATATCATAGAATAGTATGTGTGGGTGGGGTGGCCTGGTAACATAGCCTGGCTGATTACCATACATACCACACTTGATTTCTTACAATAAATACTACTTGTCTCACCCTAGATTAAGACTATAAATATTTTAAGGTAAGTAATGAGTGCACTATGTGTGTATTGTACTTTTTTATTGTTTTTTGATGCCTGGTTCTATTGCTAACTTAATATATGTTAGTGTAAACTTGTTATCTAGTGTTTGTATGCATTTATAAGTGGAAAAAAAGGGTGTTCCACTTTACGGCGGTTTCCGCTTTACGGCGGTAGCCTGGAACCTAACCTGCCGTATAAGTGGGGCCCTGCTGTACATGAGTAAGTGTGGGTGGATGTGAGTTGGACCTGACTAGCTTGTGCTATTAGGTCTGATGTCATGCTCCTTCCTTCAGTGGATGTGACCTGACTTGGTGGGTCATTGGTCTAAACCGAGGGGGGTGACAGGGACCTGCCTTGCATGGGCCAGTAGGCCTGCTGCAGTGTTCCTTCTTTCTTATGTTCTTATGTATTTGGCGGGCTCCCCAGCTGGCTTGCTTTGGCTGTCTTTCGTCTATACTCTATATGCTATATTTTCTATCTATATCTCTGTCCACAGCACACATAAGTACAGTTTTTATCAAGGGGAAATTCCCTGGGAAAACCCCAAAAAGTCCAGGCAAAGATAGACAGACAGATATATAGTAACAGGTAAAAGGTATCTATGGTCAGGGCCCCGGGCATAATCGAGGCATCATAAACGATAGGTTGCAATGGGGAAAATTTTTAAAGAATTGTGTTACAGAGCACGATGCCGGGGGAGCAAGGGGAAAGTGGCAGCAGTCAAGTCAGAGGAGTTCTCCCTCACCCAGGGGGGGCCCTCACTCCACCTAGGGGAGACAAGGTTACCTGTTGGGCCCGGCGCTCGCCGGTGGAAATGAGGGACCTTGGGGTGCTTCTATAAGACTTGTACCCGGGTTTTTAAGACACAAACTTGGCATCTAGGTAAGATGATTAACTCAATTTCCTCCTCCCCTTTTTTTTTTTTTTTTTTTAAGATAAAAAATCTTACAAAATAACAGAGATCCTTTTTTAAAATTATGGGTCCCAAAAAAGAGGAATTACCTGGGTGCAAAACAGAGGTGAAGGAACTATTAACAGTTATTTTGCTCATTTTGAACCCCTCACTTGGATTTCTCCAGTGCTCTAATGGCTCACTTCTCAGCTGTTTCGTTAGATGGATTTTTCCCCCACAACCATCGAACTACCCTTTTAAACCCCAAAATGTCCAAATGTAACGCTTTCACTCGCTTAGCCTCCGATACTATTTTGAAAAATAAAAAATCATCTTTTTTTTTTTAACCCTTTCAGGGTCCGCCCCGTAGATAAAAGGGTTTTACGTTGAGTGCCAAAAAACCATAATCTACGCCAAAATTCAGCGCTGTCAAATTTAGCGCGAAAAACGCTCATAGGCCTACAGTGAGAAAAGGGGTCTGCGGGTGGGGTGTGCTAAAAAAAAAATCTAGGGCCCGCATAGCTTTGGGGAACCCCGGCTCAGTACCTTGTTCCCCATCCTCTGCAGTCAGCTCTCACCCCCCCCAAAAATTGGGGGACCCCCTTTCCATCTGTAGTTTGAAAAGGGAAGTGGAAATGAAGACGAATTCTACAGCTTTGATCATTTTAGTGCCCGAAAAAATGACCAGGATATCGATAAAGTGCAGAAACCCCCGACGATCCTCAACCTTCACCTCGGTGGGGCACTCGTGACCCCGGTGGGTTTTGTTCCTCATCGCAAAGAAAACTATTTTTTTCGCGGGGCCAGGCCTCTGATTCAGTAATGATGAGATAGTATGACTGGATTTTTTTTGCCGGGAGATCAATCAGTATGAAGTGGGGAATCATATTCACCAGTAAAAGTGCGGTTGTTTTCCCGCCGCGCCCCCGGGTAGTGTCCCCCTATGCTGTGTCGGAGGGAGTACACCCGGGAAAATCCCAGAGTCATCCCGGAGTACATCCCGGGGAAACACCAGTTTTAGGTAGGTAGGAGGTGATGTGGGTACATTTGGCGGGATAGACCACGGCATCAGGGGAGGGTTTTTTTTGGGGTTTGGGGTAGTGGCCCGCCAGTGACTCACGGGGCCACGCTGGGCCCACACTGCTGACTTTTTAGTTTAAAGGACAAAGGGGAGCCCAGCCACCCCCCACCAAAACCAAAAACCACCCGCACAACGCCTATGATGTCCAGAAATCCACCAGAAAACCCGTATGGGGGATTGGCAGAAAACCCCCAATTTTGTTCCCACCCACCACTTTGATATTCTAAAATGGAATTTACCTCTTGCCCCCTTGGGAACCACGGGCCAATGAACTGGAATTTTTTGAATTATTCTTTGACCACCTTTGTGGAAATTATTGTCAGGGAAGTAATAAGTATTTTGAGTACACATGGAAAAATACAATCTTTCCCCAGTAAAGACTAAAGGGTGGAAAGAGACGACTGTTGCAAAAATGTATTTGTTTTTTGAAACAAAAATGCTTTGCCCCCGTCAAAAGCAAATAAAAAAGCATACGGGTCCACAGATCGGCAATTTTTCCCCCGGGGTTCATGAAATCATACCTGAAAAGGGTTTTTCTTATGTTACTATGTTGCACTTCTCTGACAAAACCCGCCCCCAGAAGTGACAGGTTTTACAAGATTAGAAATGTTTTTCCCGTATCTCAAAAAAAAAATTCGCATAACGTACTTTTTTCCCTTTAAAAATCTTGTTTGACGAGTCTTTTATTTTGTTCAAGGTAGCTGTCATTCAACGTATAACCGAGCAAGAGGAAACGCTTTTTTATAAAAGTTTGTACTCTGTATTTTGACAGTGGCCTGGGGTTGGATATTTTGTATACACGGGGAGTAAAACATTGAAGATACCAAAATGTTATTGGTATCTCAGGTGACTAGTGGAAAAACATGATGGCACCTTACTTGGAAGGGCATACTTATATACCAATAACTGGACACAAGCCTTACTCGTGATTTCATGGGTGAACAAGACAGATGTGTGTGGCAAGTGCATTTTAATCGTAAAAAATATCCCGGCTCAACCAGGTCCTCGTGGCATGAGTGAGGGGTTTTATGCCAAAGACATCATGGCTTACGGGGGCATAAAAAAACGAGATGTCACATTTTTGATAAAAATTCACCGTAATGAAAAAGCAAAAACAGGGCAAAGTTATCGGTGACTAATGAAAATATTTAAAAACCAGTGACAGTGATTTATTATACACAAAACTTTCGCTTGGGTTTACAAGTGTGACATGCAGATTGGTTTTGTTTTTACTGGTTCGTAAGAGTTACAAGTGGTACATGAAACTTTTTTTTCCATCTCAGGACTTTTTTAAAGCTCAAAGCATATAATATGTACCAAATAAAAATGGGAACAGACCCCCGTTTGGGGAATTTTGTTTTTCTGTTGTCAGACAACCAAAGAAGTACCAGGTAACACACCCCTTAAAAAACACAGCCTCAATTCCCCAGATATACCCAGCGTTTTAGGAGGGAAGGGATCTTTCATAAAACAAATTCCCTTTAACTCAAAAAAATTTCTCCCGAAGAACAACGTCTGTGCCAAACAAAAGACGGGACAAAGCCAAAGAACCGGTTTTAAGTGTGAGGAATGTAAGGTGCCTCTGGCGGGGGCCTTGTTTTAAGGGTTCCCAACTCCCCCAGTTCAAAACCATGTCCGTGATTGTAAAAAATTTTAATATAGATAGAACATTGTATTATACAAAATTTGTGCATGTTTTTTTTTAAAAACAACATGGGGAAACAAATATAAATAACTTTAGGGGGTTATTTTGTTTAATACAGTGATTTAATATATACTTTTAACAGTATTGGTCCTAGGCCCCCAAAGTTATAGAATAGAAAAAAATTGGAAAAAAAGAAAAAACAACAAAAACCGCAAAATAATGAATGGTGAGTGGATTCGTGATGTTGCCGCCACACATCATTTTCGAAAACTTTTTTGGACTGTACCCGGGAAGTACTGATCAGAATTTTTTTTTTTTTTCTTATTACCTTCACAAAAAATATGCTCTTTAATTCTGTAAGAAAAAAAAATTTTTTTTTTTTTTTTTTTTTTTTTTAAATTTTTGGGCACTGAGCACCCCTTCGTTTGGGCCCTTTGGCCCTGAGGGGTTAAAAAAATTGCACTTTTTTTAAATAAGGATAAAAAAAAAATTTAGGATCAGTACTTACCGAGATTTTGGTTGCAAAGTTGGGGCTGGATGCTCCCTGACAGCAATCAATCGACGCTTGCAAAGTTTGCCGATATACCTTTTTTTTCCTCTTTTTTTTTTTTTTTTAATTTTTTAAAATTTTTTATTTCTGATAAAGCAAATTTTTAATAGTTCTTGGATTCCATAGCCAATCTAGTTTACACTAATATTAGGACTGAAATACTACTAAAATAAACAATACATTGAGAGTGAACATTTACACATGTCTGGGGGGATTTTCTTGGGGTTTAAAAAAAATACAAGTATTATAGGTCCCAGCAATGTTTTAGATACCCTGGAGTATACTTTGAAGCATGTTGTTATGAAAGGGCATCCCTATACTGTTGACAGCCCAGTGACATTTGATAAATGGGCACTGGGGAACCCTGGTTTATTTGTTTTCAACTGATACACACAGACATGTTTGTCTGTCTGTCTATCTCTGTCTGTCTATCTGTCTGTCTATCTTTGCCTGGAATTTTTGGGTTATCCTAGGTAATTTACACTATGTATAATAACTGTACTTATGTGTACATGTGAGAGAGAGAGAGACAGATAGACAGAGATATAGACAGACACAGAGATACATACAGCCAGAGCCAGCCAGCCAGCCAACCAGCCAGCCAGGCAGCCAAACAGCCAACCAGTCGAACAGCCAGCCAGCCAGCCGAGCAGCCAGCCAGCCGAACAGCCAGCCAGCTGAACAGCCAGCCAGCCAAACAGCCAGCCTGCTGGACAGCCAGTCGAATACATAAGAACATAAGAAAGAAGGAACACTGCAGCAGGCCTACTGGCCCATGCTAGGCAGGTCCATGTTACCCCCCTTCCCTCGGCTTAGACCAATGACCCACCTAGTCAGGTCACATCCACTGAAGGAAAGAGCATGACATCAGACCTAGTAGCACAAGCTAGTCAGGTCCAATTGTCACCCACGCACACTTACTCACACATTTAGCTAACCCTCACTGTATTTGTTATCACTGTTACTCACAAACATGTCTGTCTATTTATCTGTCTATCTTTGCCTGGAGTTTTGAATTTTCCTGGATATTTTTCACTATATATAATAACTGTACTTATGTATACGTGTGAGACAGAGATATAGATAGAGATATAGAGATATAGACAGAAAGACAGTCCAAAGCAAGCCAGCTGGCCAACCTGCCAAATACATAAGAACATAAGAAAGAAGGAACACTGCAGCAGGCCTACTGGCCCATGCAAGGCAGGTCCATGTCACCCCCACCACCCTCGGCTTAGACCAATGACCCACCAAGTCAGGTCACATTCACTGAAGGAAGGAGCATGACATCAGACCTAGTAGCACAAGCTAGTCAGGTCCAACTCACACCCACCCACACTCACTCATGTATTTAGCTAACCTATTTTTACTTTCCTCTTGAAAGGGGAGTGTTAATACGACATGGCATCAGTGAATCCCTGGTGTTTCTCACACTATTTGCTCTAGCTGGTGCTCAATTGAACTGGTGCTCCCACAAGGTACTAAGTGTTCCCAGATTTTTTTTAATACTGTGCACACTGAGTGCACAGACCCATTCTTTTATGTCTAGGTGACTC